GGCAGGGTTCGCACGTGGCCCCCTACCCGCCCGACCGCCCCTTTCGCTTGGGCCTGCTCGCCCGCCACCTTGGAGTGCCGACCGCGCGCTGGAGTGCCCTCGCTCCGGCCCGCCCGGGGGGGCCGCCCGCCCGACCCCGCCCGGCAGCGTGCGCCCGCCCAGCCCAGGCCCGCCCCGCCCCCCGGCAGGCACGAAGACACGCGCCCGCTCGCGCTGCTGCGCCGCACGCCTGACGCCCCCGCGGAGGTCTGCCCGCTCGCTCGCCTGCCCGCTGGCCCCCTCGAGTGGCCCGCCCGTCCGACCCGCCCGCCCAGGGGCCGCCCCCGGGGCCCGCCCGCCCCGCCCCGCCCACGCGGGCCCACCCGCCCGATACGCGCCCGCTCGGGTCCGCCCGCCCGACGCTTCCTGGACACCACGCCCGCCAGCTTTGTTGCCCCGGCCGCCCGACTCGCCCGATCAGGCACGCTCGTCACACGCGCCCACCAGGATCGGCCCAACGGCCCCACCCAGCAGGGTCTGCCTGGCACGGCCCGCCCAGCCAGACGACGGCCAACGAACCAACCAGACAACCAACCAACCTGACGACCAACCAATCAACCAACCCGCCGTCCAATGAACCACCTCATGGGCAAACCAACAAACCAGCCAAAAACCAACCAACCGACCACCGAGCCAATCAACAGACCAACCAACCAGCCAACCAACCAACCAGCCAGCCAATCGAAATCAGTCACTAATAAGAACATACGCCCCCAGGCCGAAAGTTTCACCTTGCATGGGCAAGCCTTGATCCACCCTTGAATCCCATTGCGTGCGTGTATCTGCGAGAACTGCTTGGATCCAGATTGTCTTTCGTCCGGATCAAGTGTTTGGCTCGAAAGTTGCGAAGATACAACTGTATCCCAGGAGTGAACAACAAACACACACACACACACAGATTATGCTAATGTGCACAAGGGTTCCCAAGAGCATTCGGTCCACGCGGCCTCAGATATGCAGACCGATGCCTTGATTATGCGAGGAGGGGTTCCCCTATCCAGACGATACCACGCGCAAAGTGGATGGGGGGGGCGCGGAAGGGAAAGGTGCCGAAGGAGGAGCAGGACTCGCGGCGCCGCAAGACGACGACAGCGGCGAAGACGACGGCGACGACGGCACCAGCGGCGACGACGACGGCGGCAACGCTGACGAGGAGGACGACGAGGAGGACGGGGCAAGGCAAGGAGAGGTGGGAGAACGATGAAGAGAAGACGGGGGAAGTAAGAGCGAAGAAGGAACGACGAAACGGAGGGAGGGAGGTGGGGAAAGGGGACAGAAGGCGGAGGAGGAACGAGAAGAACCGAGAAGGGTAGCGAATGGCGGAGTGATGGAAGGAGGCGGAAGGTGGATAAGGAAAAAGAGGAGAGTGAAGCAGAGAAGGAATAGGTGAACGGAGGAAGACTTTGGGGGGAGGCGAGAGGGAGGGAGGGTCAAGTAGACGATACGATACAGGGAGGGGGCAAGGGTGAAGCAGATGAGAAACGAGAGGAAGAAGAGAAAGTAGACAGCGGAAGAAGCGGGTGGGGGAGGACAAGGGTGGGAGGACGAAGAGGAAGAGGACACACATAACAGAAAGATGAAGTCAGGTCGGGGGAAGAGGAGGTAGTGGGGGAGGAGATGGGGCAAGACGGAAGGGAGAGGGGACGCAGCGTTCAGGACAAGTGAGGACGACGAGAAAAACGACAACGTCTGAGAGGACAAGGAGGCAGCGAGGGGCCAGCGGAGCAAAAAACAAACCACACAACAAACCGAAGTCCGCGCCGACCCTCAAACATTAATGGCGATGCCGTTTCGAGGCGTGCGATCCTCCACCTCCTGTGACTCGTCCTACTACTACCACCACAACCCTCACCGCCACAACTGCTCCTGCGACTCCTGCGACTCCTACACCTCCTACTGATACTACTACTACTACTACTACTACTACTACTACTACTACTACTACTACTACGACTACTACTACTACTACTACTACTACTACTACTACTACTACTACTACTACTACTACTACTACGACTACTGCGACTACTACTACTACTACTACTACCACTACTACTACTACTACTACTACTACTACTACTACTACTACTACTTCTTCGTGTACTTATACTTATACTTTTACTTCTACGTCTACTTCTACTTCTATTTCTACTACTACTACTACGACTGCTACTACTACTACTACTACGACTACTACTACTACTACTACTAGTACTGCTGCTACTGTTACTATTACTACTACTACTACTACTACTACTACTACTACTACTACTACCGACTACACTACTTACTACTACTACTCACTACTACTAACTACTACTACTACTACTGCTGCTACGACTACTACTATAACGATTACGACTACTACTAATACCTACTACTACTTACTACTACTACTACTACTACTACTACGACTACTACTACTACCACCACTACTACTACTACGGCTACTACTAAAACT